GAGCCGCCCTCCATTTCTTTTTGGACTCTTTTTTTTGGGGTGGATGCCAACAGACATGCAGAGGGGAGGAGGGAAGCGACGCCGAAGCGCCCACCGAAGCTTGGAAACGGAGGAGAAATCTTTCCCAGATCACCTTCGGCGCTCCTGAGGTTTTGGGGGGTCAAAATTGCCTTTTGCCTTCCCTTCGGAGAAATCCAATTTGGGATCGGAGCGGGAGAGGCTGGATTTAACGAGGGATTTATTTACAGAGGTGGAAACGCCGCCGCCGAAGCCAAACCCTCCCCGTCCCCACGCGGCTGGGATGCGATTTAAGGCTCCGACCGGCAAAAAGCTCAGTGGGGATTGAGGGGAGGGGAAAAAAAACCACCCCCAAAACCAAAGCAGAGGGGGAAAAGGGGCCACGTCATGGCGCTGCCGGCTTGGGGAGGGTTCCTGGCTTTTGGGGTGGTGGAGGTTGTTGACCAAAACCTGGCAGAATCCACCCAATTTTTCCCCTCGCCACCATCTCGATGGGGAAGGGGAGGAGGGAGGCTGTCTCAGAAGGATGCGCAGGTTCCATCCCTCCGGATTTTTACTGGTTTGAGTCTCTGTGGGTGTGCTGACTGCTGTCGAGGCTGCTCCTGCCCTCAAATTTACCAATATTCATCCTTTTGGCTTGAAAAAAACCCTGTTCCCAGGCTGTGAGGTGCGGGTTCAGCCTTCAACGCATTTGGGTTGTTGAGCGAAACAAAACCTTCAAGTCTAGAAGGGAACCAGCAGCCAAATTTCTCCGCTTTGGGGGAATAATGGGATTTTTAGAGTAAATAGGGAGGTTTTTTTGCTGCTCAGAGGGCATCAGGGCTGATCCCGAAGCCTGATCCAGCACAGGGCAGGGAGAGGAGGATGCTAACGCCCGGCTAATCCTTAGTATTTTTGGCATTTTGATGCAAAAAACCCTGTCCTTTCTCCTCCTAACGGTCCTGGGCGGAGGAAAGGAACAAGGCTGGCAGGCCAAGGGGGCGGTAGGCATAAAAAAGGCATCGCGCTTGTGTCGAGCGAAGGCTTGCGGCGCTGGAGGATTCCTGCCGGGGTACTGCTGCCGTTCTCCCTACGGAGCCAAGCGCGGAAACAATCAGCCCACAGCCTCCTGCCTGCCGGTAGTTGGGCTGCTCGCATAAAACCCATCCTCCTCGCACCCCGCGAGGCGTTTCGGAGGGATACGAAGCCTCTCGAACCCCCAGAAAATAAACCCCACCTCAAGCAGCAGGCAGATTTCCCTGCCTGCTCACCCCAAATCCTCGGCTGGGCCGGTGGCGGCGCAGCTCCTTCCCTCCCTGTAAACACGACTCGCTTAACTGGGGTCTTACTGGGAAGCAGCGGGGCAGCGCTGGAGGTTCTGCTCGGACTTTATTAGTTTCTTGCTCCCTAAATTCACAGTTTGAACGCCTGCGTGACAGAGCGAGGGCTCGGGAAGGAGAGGGAAGAGCCGCGGGGAGGGAGGGGAGAAGGTGACGGCAGCCAGGGGCTCGGGCCGCATTATCTTTTTGCTCGCACAAAGTACAAGGCATTTGTTTTGGGATAGTATTTCACGTTTTGTTTCTTGTCCATGAGGCCACCGAATATGATTAACTCCCCTCGGCCTTGCACCACCGTGTGTAAACTGGTTTCGGGCGGCCCCACCACCGAACTGCTGTTGAACACTTTCCATTTGACTCGTCCTTTCTCCTTGGTGTCTTTAATGTCCAGCACGTACATCTGCATGGGTTTGCAGTTCATGCTCTGGTATAAAGGCTTCCCCACGTTGAGGGACTGGGGAGGGTGGTGGCCCAGGCGGCGGGCGATGGGCGGTAAGGAATGGCCGTCGCCTTGGGCAGAGCCC